GTAATTATAATAACAATAATAATAATAATAATAATAATAATAATAATAGTAGTAGATATATACATACATACACACTCAGACACACACACACACACACACACACACACACACACACACACACACACACACACACACACACACATACACACACACACACACACACACACACACACACACACACACACACACACACACACACACACACACACACACACACACACACACACACACACACACGTATATATATGTGCAGTCGTAAAAATGCCTGCGCTCTGACTGCTTGCTCGAGCCCGAGAAAACGACATATCGCCTTGAGAAGTCAAACGCAGGTGTCGTAGGGGAAGTCACCGCCGTGGCACAAGTGTTAACGCGCCGAACCGCGGTTGATTAGGAAGGGCATTCAATCAGGCAAGGGTGACACCGCCATATAACCTCTCAATACTGAATTGAGAGAGGCCGATGTCCTGCAGTGGAATGAATGGCTGTTGAAAAAAAAAAAAAAAAAAAAAAAAAAAAAATATATATATATATATATATATATATATATATATATATATATATATATATATATGTATATATGTGTGTGTGTGTGTATTGGCAAAACGTTTGTATATGAAGAAATTAAATCACACCAGGAAAAATCATTTTCATAATATAGAGTAAAAGCAAATTACATTTAGTCTAATTAGTTTTTTAGATTATCTGTGACTTAAGAAGAATGTTTTTGTTGACTTTAAATAACTTTTCCATGCTTGGTTGTGTTTGTGTGTGCATATTTACATATGCATTCATATGTGTGTGCGTGTGTGTTTGTGTGTGTGTATGTATGTATGTGTGTGTGTGTGTGTGTGTGTATATAATTATATATATATATATAAACATATGTATATATATATATATATATATATATACATATATATATATATATATGTGTGTGTGTGTGTGTGTGTGTGTGTGTGTGTGTGTGTGTGTGTGTGTGTGTGTGTGTGTGTGTGTGTGTGTGTGCATGCCCCCCCCCCATATACATATATATATATATATATATATATATATATATATATATATATATATATATATATACATATATATATGTATATATATATATATATATATATATATATATATATATATATATATATACATATATATATATATATATATATATATATATATATATATATATATATATAAATATATACACACACACACACACACACACACATATATATATATATATATATATATATATATATATATATATATATATATATATATATATATATGTATATATATATATATATATATATATATATATATATATATATATATATATATACACACACATATATATATATATATATATATATATATATATATATATATATATATATATATATATACATATATATATATATATATATATATATATATATATATATATATATATATATATATATATGTATATATATATATATATATATATATATATATATATATATATATATATATACACAAACACATATATATATACACATATATACATATATGAGAGAGAGAGAGATCCAAATATGTAATAAACATGCAAATAAGTATAGAATTCCGTGCGCCCCGTGCATGTATGCATGTATGCAAATAATAACTTTTCGGCTCCGCATGACATGGCACAAAAGCGACAGTCTTCACGGAATGCCCTGATGACCTCAATGGCCTACATTACACAGCTTTAAAAAATAACTCCTTCCGTGACCGTAACCCTAATTGCCTGGCAGATTGTCGCTATATACCCATTTTAATTTGATAACCATTATCATTGTTTTTACTATTAGGGTTATTATAAACTTCATTATCATCACTATTATCACTGATAATCATAATTCTATCATTATCAGAATTACCTTTAGTATCATCGTTATCATCGTATTATCCTTAATATCTTATGATCATTAAAACTGTTGATACACAATAATGTCATTATCATCATTAGTCAGAATCAGTCTCATTACTATCAGTTTCTATATTATCATTATTATATTTTACTGTCGTTATTTCTTCAGCATATGTGTACACCCATGGGACTGTAAAAAAAGGCCGGTTTGGACAGTGATCCGGTTTGGAGAGGGTGGGCTTTTAACACAGGCCGCCTATTGAAATGGGAAGGGACTGAGAATATCGTCCGGAATGGACAGTGATCCGGTTTTCTCAGGGTCCGGTTTTCTTATCAATGTTTTTATTATCATTATTATTCTTATCATTATGATTTTTATCGTGATTTTCGTTTTATCAACATTACTGTTGTTCTTTATTAGTAATACTTTCATCATCATTACCATTATTGCTGATTATTGTCATTATTATCACAATATTTATCATCAACGTTAGTAGCAATAGTATTAACAGTAGTATGATAATAATAATTATCATAAAGTTATAATTATTAAGTTATCATAACTTTCAATTTTTTATGGTTATTGTTATGAATATTATCATTGTTCCAGTGTTAGTATGAATTACTGCCATCGCCATTATCATTGTTAGTATCAATATTATCATTGGTGTTTTATCACTGTTGATATTATGTCTGCAGGTGTCATTATTAATGTTATTATCTTCCTCATCCTTGCAGTTGTTGTTATACTGTTATGGTTGTTAATACTGTTATTTTTGTTCTTATCATCATCATTATCACTGTTATCATTACCAATATTTATGGTGTCATATGAAAAGGTATACATCATATTAATTGATATTTATAACATAATCTGTACACAACAGTACCATGAATATCATTATCATTTTTACTATTATTATTACACTCTGTATACCCTTTTTGTATATATTTTTATTATTTTTTTCTGTATATTATGATTATCATCATTCTGATCTCAAACAAACTTCTAATTTCGTAAATTTCTTATTAAATAAACACTGCGTGACTTCCTAATAATCTTGATGAATACATTTACATTTTTGAGAGAAATGATTATCAGTGAAAGAATTCTATGAAACTACAGTGTATTATGCAAAGAGCCTGCGTGTTTTGTATGCGTTTGTGTGTGTGTCATTTACTCGCTTTCTCTCCTGATTTCTGTTCGTTTCTTTTCTTTCCTCCTCCCCCCCCTCTCTCTCTCTCTCTCTCTCTTTCTCTTTCTCTCTCTTTCTCTCCCTCCTCTCTCTCTCTCTCTCTCTCTCTCTCTCTCTCTCTCTCTCTCTCTCTCTCTCTCTCTCTCTCTCTCTCTCTCTCTCTCTCTCTCCATCTCCTCTCCTCTTCTATTTTATTCTCTCCTCCTCCCTCCTCTCCCTCTCCTACTCCCACTTCATCTTTATCTCCCTCCCCTTTTTTTTATTCTCTCTCTCTCTCTCTCTCTCTCTCTCTCTCTCTCCTCTCTCTCTCTCTCTCTCTCTCTCTCTCTCTCTCTCTCTCTCTCTCTCTCTCTCTCTCTCTCTCTCTCTCTCTCTCTCTCTCTCTCTCTTTCTCTCTTTCTCTCTCTCACTCTCCCTCTCTCTGAGCATCACCTACGCCCTGAAGCAATATCCCAGATCAATAAATATTCACCCCAGGTCACGCCACATACTCTCCTTCGTCACCATGCAGACTAAACATTACTCCAGTTCGCGAAACACTCCCCAGACTCATCAATAAATCATCTTCATCACGTATATCACACGCCTCATCCACATTTTACCAAGAAATCATTTTTTTCCCCCCACAAGGTCACCAAACGTTTACCGAAGTCTCCCCTCATTAGGTCACCTCGAACTTCTTTCAAGCATGTTCTACGCAGTATGGAGAGCGCTTCTGTGATCAATAATGTGCGCGGGACTTGAATAGAACACGTGATCTTCCTTGTTGTGTGTGTGTGTGTATTTTTTTAATGTTGTCTTTTTGAAAACCAAAGACAGAGCAGTGTCCCCAGTTTATTATAACTTATAAGCCGAGTAGAGAAAAAGAGAAATTGAATAACTAAGACAGAGCCATGTTTTCAGTCTATTGCAATTTGCAAAAGAGAGAAAAAAAGAGAAATTATGTAATCAAATTATGTAAACAAATTTGGCGTATCCTCAAGTTTGCCAGGACGTCCTCATTCCCCCGCCCCCCGTGACCTTTCTTTTTAGTGGCTTCCTGTCTGGTCAAGGTCAGGAGATTGACACTAATAGAAAATAGTACTTGGCTCAAGTAGGAAAGACGGTACAGCTGGAATAACGGAGAAAGAGGTGGATACGGAGAGAGAGAGAGAGAGAGAGAGAGAGAGAGAGAGAGAGAGAGAGAGAGAGAGAGAGAGAGAGAGAGAGAGAGAGAGAGAGAGAGACGAGCAGACAGAGATGGAGAGAAAAAAATAATATATAGAGAGCGAAACAGACAGGGAGAGAGAGAAAAGAGGAGAGGAGAGTGATGAATAGATAAGAGTGTGAGAATGAGTAAGGCAGAGAAAGAAGAGAGGAGAGGAGAGAGATAAATAGATAGAGTGTGAGAAGTGAGAGTGAGTGAGAGAGAGAGAGAGAGAGAGAGAGAGAGAGAGAGAGAGAGAGAGAGAGAGAGAGAGTAAGTGAGTGAGAGGGAGAGTGAGTAAGTGAGTGAGTGAGTGAGTAAGTGAGTCAGAGAGAAACAGAGAAAAGGTTGAGACCGAGACCGAGACCGAGACAGAGATAGAGATAGAGATAGAGATAGATAGATAGATAGATAGACAGGAGAGAGAGAGAGAGAGAGAGAGAGAGAGATAGACAGACACAGACAGACAGAGAGACAGATAAGCAAAAAGAAATCGACAGACAGATAAATAACTACATCTTCAAGTACTCATCGAAAACTTAGAACATTTGCCAACCAGTGTTTACAAAAGTTATTATTCACATCTGCTGAGGACAAGAACGACATATTCCTAGCCTTTATCTCAGCAACAACAAAGCTGGCCAATCACAGTTCCTTTTAGACAGTGATACGCGATAACAACCAATAGGATCGCGCGTTGCAAAATGGATGGCGGCGCGCATGTGCCCACAAATAGAGCTGGCCGATGCGGGAGAAGTTTAGTATCCTTTGAGACTTCGGAAGGTGTAAGTCTGACTGATCTGGACGGACTACAAGCAAGTGTACAATGTCTGTTAAGCAAAAGTTAACGAAGGAAGAGACATTGCTGCTGAGGAAGAAACACATTGGGTAAGAGTTCGAGTAACCAGCGAATAGTAATAGATTTTCTTTGCGAATGCGTCACTTGACCTTACTTTAGCAGGATTCCATCACAGAAGTCATCGATATGTCAAGTGCTTCCACATCATTTGTTGGCAGACATTCTTGAAGAAATGATATTGTCATTACTGTAGTTCAATGGCTATTCATCCAGCAGACTGTGACATCGCATTAATCTAACTGCTTTATGTGATCATAATGTGTTGATTTCAGGAAATCAAACTATCGCGAAAACAAGGCATTACTTTTTGGCAGGTTTTCATTCTTCTGT